ATATAGGCTAGGAATTCACCTTTTGTGACTTTTAATTTGCTATCTATTTACATAAATGAATGAAGGGTAAGTTATGAGAAAATTTGTCAAGTGATTGTGGGAGATCTGAATCGCTAGGTCAGACTGCCAATTGGTTTATCAGTTCTGATGTTCTAATTGTTTCTTCCTGACTAGTTCGGTGATGCTCGTCTTTTTCATTCTTCTGTAACAAAGCATATGAAGTATATGTCATAAAAATATAAGCTCAGTATCTGAAAAGACCATGCATAATGTATTGCTATGTGTTTATGTAAATATATACATCATGTTAAAGGATAAAAGGCCCTCCCGTTGATCGTCGATTTGCTCGAGCGGGCCCAGTAACGTCTCCATTGGAGACTTTGTTGTTACTGAGTTTGGCATATCGAATACTCTCGGTAGCTTGCCGGGCTCTCTGAGAGGGGCGGAGGAATCGAACTCGGATCAGCCATGTTGGCTGCTTGTAAGGCGAACGCCCTACCCGCTGTGCAATCGCTCCAGCACATGTTAAAGGAGGTTACAACTATTTGATATTTGTATACTGGAAACTCAGACTGTGCCAAGCTTTGTAATTATGCTTCTTAATGTCAAATGGACATTCACTGCTTTAAATTTAAATTACACACACACACACACACACACACACACACACACATACACCTTTTAAAAAAGAGGAAAAATCACGGTGAACTGTTTCTGAAAACATGAATAGAAAAGACAGAATGTTGGGTCAAATGGAAGGTCATTTTCTAGTTTTTTGAGGAATGTCTATATTCGTATTATTTTCCAAAAAGGCAAGACCAGTCAAAATTCCCAGCAGCAGTGAATGGGGCTTTCACCTCTCCCCCAGTGCCCTATCACACCAATACAGTTTGTTCCGGTTCTTTGTAAGTGATATGCATTATACCCTTTTAATAATAGTATTGAAAAACAGTGACAAAGAGGAAAAAAAGAAAAAAAAACTGTCTGCCATAGAGCTGAATACTAGGGGGCAAAAGGGAAACTGGGGACATTGGTAGATGGGAAGTGAGCACCAGTGAAAGGATGAGTACTTGAACATTTACAGCCGAAACTCAATCATGAACAACTTACAACTTTGTAACTTAATATCTCACTGTGATTCAATATATATATATGTATATGTATATATATATATATATCAGAATGTGAACTGGGGATTTAAACCAAGTATTTATATTGATTCTTGGGAGAAGAATGTCTGGACCAAAGAGAGAGCTCAAAAGGCTGTAGTGCATATGGTAGGCTTAGTTCTTTCCCCAGTATCACGTGGTCTCTTGAGCGCTGCTGGGAGTGACCCAAGAGTACAGTGGCAGGTTTTACCACTGAATGCTGCTAGATGTGGTCCAAAATCAGGGAACATTTTTCCCAAAAATGATATTGATGATTTTAATTATATTTCCTTTAGAAAAAATCTGGGTCATGATGGGAATAATGGAATGATTGTTGCGAAAAATAGATAAGGGCCAGGTTTTCAGTTGACCTGAAACTCCTGCACTAGGATTGACAGTGGCTCTTTCAGCCTCTGATTATTCCCCAATTGCCGAAGAAAATGTCTTTTTTATAGTCTTGAGGTACTTTCTTTCTCTTCCTAAAAAAGCAGATTGCTCAAAGTGATGCCAACTGTTTTGTTTAGAAATTTCACGTGGTTTTTAAACTGCAAAAGTATGCTTCTCTTTTTGAAAGTAAAAACATTTTGATTTTACAGTACAGTTATAATGACTTTGTGGTAGAGTTTGCAAAAATTCCACTAGATTATGGATATATAAATGACTTCAAAGAGTTTTTATGTAGGGTTCAGTTTCCTAGAACTCATCTCTTATCTGCAGAAAAAAAACCCTTTCAATTCAATCAATTAATTGAAATTCTCAAAGAGTTTAACTCTACTGTGGGACTAGAGGTTAGAGAACATTTTGAATTTTTTTTCAAGTTTTATCTACTGAAAACACCAAGATCTGAATGAGCTGAAACCAAGGAAAACTTCTAGAACCTAAAGGAATATTGAAATACAATCTTTAGGCAGGCTTGTGAGAATTGACAATATTTAGTTAACACATAATTCATGAAGAATAATGTCTAACTGGAGTTGGTATTTAGTGTAATTTATAGTACAAGAATCAATGATGAGTGAGGTTTGATGGATCTGTGGATATATTTGTGATTAAAGAGCTCTGTTAAGGGAATAAAGCAAATAATGTGGCAAGATAAAAGATATTTGCATAGGCAAATGCCTAATCAAATATGTAACCCATGGTCGTTGATCTTATAAATTTAAAAAAATAGTGGGTTATATCTAACATAAATTCCAATGACTAGCAATTATGTGTATCAGTTATGATTTTTTTAAAAGTAATTAAAATAATTCTGGAACCATATGTATTAAAAAAATCAAAACAGGTTAACTAATTCAATTGTCCTAAAAGACACTTTTTATCTCTCCTTTTTATCCCTCCCTCTTTTGTAGCTGAGTTTATATTCTAGTTAGAGTTCTATAGCTATTTGTATTCTGTTTAGCTTATTCTAAGATTATCACCTGGACAAAAACAACTACTGAAATTTAAAAACTCCACGTTAAGTCCTTGAATACTGCTAAAATGTTTTTTATTTACAATAATAATGTAAAATCATGGTATGTAAAAGGTTCATAAAACTAAAAGGGTAGCAGGTGAAATGAAGCAATTCCTTTTGAAACTCTTAAAATTTTGAAATTTGCTTCGTTACTCACATCATTGTTTGGAGGTTCTAGCAGGGGAGCGCAGCTACTCGTATACCCTCGACCAAAGACCGGTCCGTCTCTATCAGGGAAGGCCGTCCTCTTCGACAGAGTGCGCAGCTTCGGGAGGGATGCACATGGAGCAGTGAGGGAGGAAGGGGACACCCGCCTAGCCAGCCAGATCAGCCCAATCAACCCTGGCGATCAATGGGGTGACAGATGTCGCAGCCAGATCGCCTGTTCGATTCCTCCGCCCCTCTCAGAGAGCCTGGCAAGCTACCGAGAGTATCTTGCACACATGGCAAAGCCTGGCAAGCTACCTGTGAAGTATTCGATATGCCAAACCCAGTAACAAGTCTCACAATGGAGACGTTACTGGGCCTGCTCGAACAAATCGATGAACAATGGGAGGACAGTGCTACAGTACTACTCACATCATGTTCACTGACAGGCCCCCATTCAATTATCAGTCACTTTTTTTTTTGCTTTTAGAACTATTTCTTTCTTTCTTTCTTTTTTTTTTTTAAGTGAGCAAAAAACAGCAAAAGGGCAAGAGGAAACACTTTTTCAAATTTGCTGTCAGCAGAATCCCTTTCTTTCTTTCTTTCTTTCTTTCTTTCTTTCTTTCTTTCTTTCTTTCTTTCTGGTAATTCCCAACCAATGTTTTAGAAAAGGCTTTTCAAATTTGCATATGGATAATCTAAGATCAATAACAGCTTGATCTAGTTTAGGAACATAAAAAGAAAGAGTATTTTTGAATAAGTATTATTCATTAAAACTGATCTTTTTGGGGTAAACAGCTCATAAAGCTCATAAAATGCTCTCCCTCTCCCAAATTCCACCTCAGCCACCCCTTCATATAAATCAGTGAAAGCAAAGTTTCCAAACCAACTCAAGGAAATATAACTCCAAACTCTTAGTAGAGTGAGCTTACAATAGGTAATGAAGATGACCCCTGGGAAAAGGCAGCCCAGACTATCTATCCAACCCACTACAGCGAACATTTTCATCTGTAATGCAAAAGAGAAGTGCAATGTATTAGAATAGATATAACTACATCAGAAATTCTTAACTTTTAGTACTCAGGGCTGCTGAGAAACTGTTATGTTCTCTACTCTATGGAAAACAGCAAGACAATCTGTCTGAAATTTTGATCTACTGTTATAACCCTTGGGCACATCCATGGACAAGAGGCAAGGACAGCTGCTTACCCACGACATGACACTTAAGGAGTGCTGTTCAGTCCAATTATGAAAGCACACCCTTTCAGCGTATTTGGCTGCAACTGCTAACTGGTATTTTCTTTAACTTTCTCACATATCAGTTAAAATACTTCTAGTGGGATTCTTCTGAAATCACGTCTACAAAGAAAAACCAAACGCACATTCTTTAAATATTCTTTATTTTCCTAGAGAAATCTGGCTGCACTGTTGACTTTTTTTCCCCTTAAAGGGGAAGTGGGGGAGGGGAAGAACCTCTTCTTTTGCAGGGTGCAATATAAAAAGCAACAAACAGAAAACAAAAGTGAGGGATTTTTTTTTCTTTGGTTGTTTGGTTTGGGGAGGTGGCATGGTATGGAGGTGACTGTTGCGACGTGTAGCCTGGAAATATAAACTATACAACAAGAATGTCTGCTTCTCCAGTTTTCCAAGACAAAGTACTTGAGGGGAAACCTCATCCGGAGATGCCTGCCTGCTGGTGTGACTCTTTCAGACTATTCTATGAGTAGTAGGTACTCTTTGAGAGAAGCTGGCCGTGGAAGGCTCTTCACGGCATCTGGTAGATACTGGAACCCGAGGCTACGGTGCTCGGCATAACGAGATAGTGTTTTTAGAGTTCCTGGGACAGAGCACAGAGCAGTCAGTTTTTCACACAGCTGCTGGTCTCTGACAACTTCACGGGGCATGATGCCATTTTTCCTTAATTCAAAGTTTCCAACAGCTCTGTGGAGGACCTCAAAGCAAGAGTCCTCTTTCTCTGTTCCAAGTCCCCTGACTAGGAGAGCCACGAGGCAGGAGATGCATGTCTGGCCTTCTAGGTTGGTGAGCCTGACCTCTGCACCATAATCAAGAAGGATACTGACACTCTCAAGATTTCCCTTCATGGCAGCCCAGCTGAATGGAGTATCATTGTTATTATCCAGAGCATTGACAGAGGCCCCGCTCTCTAGGAGGGCCTACACACGTTCAACATTGTTCTTAAAGGCTGCCCAGTGGAGCGGGGTATCTTGGTTGCCATCCAGTGTATTAGGAAAAATACGGAACGCTTCACGAATTTGCGTGTCATCCTTGTGCAGGGGCCATGCTAATCTCTATGTGTTCCAATTTTAGTATATGTGCTGCTGAAGTGAGCCCCAGGCACTTCTTTTGAGTGCATATTAGTTCATTTTGCTGAAACCAAAATGTTTCATTGTGTCTTGGTTCCAGTTTTTGTCTTTCAAAAGAGAAGAATTAAATAAAGACACCCTAAGTAGGCTAAAATAACAGAAATACTATTAATTAAGGAGAGGTGTTCTAAGAGAGGTGTGCTTCAAAGGTTTAAAGAACACGTGAAAATAAAGAATATATTCTTTAGTCGTCAGAGTGGGCTAGCCCAAGTGGAATCAGTGCCCAGAATCTTTATTGGAACATGTCTTTCTTGTTCTTCATTTTTTTTTTAAGTTTTCCCAGGTTTCCCTGTCCTCCCAGATCTATATCCCTCGGTGTTCCCTCTGATTCCCCTCCCTTACACCATGTGCCAAGGCTTGGGGTTTCCCCCATGATTAACTAAGGAACCCAGGTAGGGGGAAAAACTGCAATGGAGATAAAAGTAACGTGGGGTCAAATTCTGGTTCCCCTTGTGTGTTCTTTAGGTGGGGAGGTCTTGGTGCCAGGGAGTCTTTTATTTTCTAGAAAAACTAATCTGCAGGAAACCTGAGCTTGGTCATCCTTGGATGACCCTCCTTACAGGGGGTGGTTTGAGGCAATTTTCACTGTGTCAGTATTCTACTGGATCCTTGGCCATTGCCTCTGGCTTTATGAGTCTTCTCTACCTACTCGTGTCTGACCAACTTGCCTGGGCTAATAGGAGATTAGATCAATCTTTAAATAATCATGCTGCTGAATAGTGCTAACTTTTGGTGTTTATTTGGTTTGGTAATGATCTTAAGGTTTTTCTGAATTCCTCTTTTGGCCTTATGGAAATCCCTTGACCTTCAGACTGAAGAATACTAAATGATTTTCATGGTTGCTTTTTCTTCTTTGGATAAAGGAAAAGAAGATTAAAAAAAAACTATGTCTTAAAAGTTTTTTTGTGTGTGTGTGTGAAAAGGAGAGATAGTATTTGGGTTATACCAACAGATTTTATTTTTCTCAGAATGTCAATCTGACAGTTTCTTAGGAAATCACACCTTTGTGTTTCCACATGTATTTCTTGAATTTTCATTTTACATTAGACTCTTAAGTCACTTCTAATTATGTAGAAGCAGAGCATTCCCTTGCCACTGTCAACTTAAAAGAAAAAGGATCTTATGTAAGCTTAGGTCCTCCTTTTAAAAATTATTTTATTATTATAAAGTTGTTCACAATAATTTATTATATTTAATACTTGAACACCAATCCCACAACCATTACACCTCCCCCGCACCATAGTTCTAATATTTCCACCCAACCTCCAAACTCTGCCTCTATAGCAGAACAAAAATAATTTATTTCGTGTTGCTTGTTATGAATAATCCTCTAAAAGTGATCCATAAAAGTTTCCTTAGAGGAAAATGTGTGAAGGTTGTTGTATTTCACCCTGGAGTCATTAAACCCTTCTATAAGAGATTACTAACATGGTGTTAAAGTTTGAGTCGTGTGTGTGTGTGTGTGTGTGTGTGTGTGTGTGTGTACATATACATATATTCCTCCTGAGATTGGTCGTTTCTACTTTAAATACTCTTGATACATCAGTGGTGTAAATTATGAGATGTCACGGCTGTGTGCTCTAGAAATTTTAAAATTAAAAATATGGTTGTACAGTACATTCACTTATGAGTGAGGCTCATCCGAGCCTGTGGAGAGCGGCCATGAGCTTGGCGGTGATTGGGTTCTGGAAGTTTTCTGTTTCTGGGGCTCTGTTGGGGTGGGGAGGAGAACTCATCTGCCCTCATGAGACAGCCTCACACGAAGTCTTGGAGGCATCTCTGTGGCATATTGTTCTACGTTGCTCTCTTCCAAGGCTTTATTTCTGAGTGTCAGGTCCTCACTTTTTTAGTTTTATTTTTTTGCTCTTGGTTCATGGTCATCTGTGTTCTGAGCTTACTTCGGACTCTGTGCTCAGTGACCACTCCTGGTAGTGCTCAGGAGACCAATGGGATGCTGGGGATCAAACCCAAGTCACCTGGCTGTGAGGCAAGCCCCCTGCTTGCTATAGTGACTCTCCAGCACTGACTTAGCTCCTCATTTTGATTTGAATTCTAACCCATAACAATGTGTATTTTTTGTGAAGCAAATTGTTTCTCTTTGGGGCTCTTTTTGGATATTCTCCCTGGGCTCTTTACCCTCTCTCCCTTAGCGGTGTAATTCCACCATAGTATTTAGAATCTTGTGGAACAAAATCCATTTTCACAATGTACATTTTCATCTGTTCATGAATAGAACTGCTGGGATTCCAGGAAAGCCAGTAACCTCTACATGCTGGTGGTTTCTTCTGGAAATTGCCAGTTTTTTTTTCTTCTTTATTTTATGGTCAGGTATTGAACTGTCATTTAGATGGCTTTCATCTATTGAAGTTATAAATATGCACGCATGAATGCTTAATCTAGATGGAAAATAGAATGTGGGTTTGTTGAATAGTCAGACAAGAAATATTAGAGTGAACCAAATGGAAATTCTAGCTATATTCTTGCATTCACTAGTTAGCACTGCTAATAGGCTATCACTGAAATATCAGTACTACAAACTTTGTGGTTTTTAAACTGGAGAGTTATGTTTGAGTCTTATGAATTCATTTTCTGTAGATATGGAAAATTACATGACTTGTGCTCAAAGTGTGATAATGTTGAGAATATAAGAACCCCAAATTAAACAGAGCTCACTGATGACAGAAATGTTCATTCCGGGAATACAGAGAATGTATGACAATACTACCCATTTAAGAGGATCAGTAAGATTTATTTATTTATTTATTTTTATTAGTGAAACATCATGAGGTACAGTTGTAGACTTACAAATTTTTGTGCTTGGGTTTCAGTTATACAATGATCGAATACCCATCCCTCCACCAATGCCCATTCTCCACCACCACCACCAGTCCCAGTATCTCTCCCACCCCCATAACCCCATCCCACCCTACCAGTGTGGCAGGGCATTCCCCTCCATTATCGCTCTCCTTTTGAGTTCTGTGGTTTGCAAAAGAGACATTGAGTGGCAATCTTGTTCGGATTATAGTCTACTCTCATCACGCATTTCCCATCCTGAGAGGAACCTCCCAACACCCTTTATTTGGTGCTCCCTTCTCTATCTGAGCTGCCTTTTCCCCTTAGCGTGTGCGGCTGTCCTCAGGGCCATGGAGTAATCCTGGTATTTTTCTCAGCTATTCTTGGGCGTTAGTCACCTATTTTGTTACTTTATGTTCCCCAGATGAATGCAATCTTTTTTTTTAAATTTTTATTAGTGAAACACTAATAAAAATCGCTGGAGCGATAGCACAGCGGCAGGGCCTTGCATGCAGCCAACATGGCCGACCCGAGTTCTATTCCTCCGCCCCTCTCGGAGAGCCCGGCAAGCTACCGAGAGTATCTCGCCCGCATGGCAGAGCCTGGCAAGCTCCCTGTGACGTATTCGATATGCCAAACACAGTAACAACAAAGTCTCCAATGGAGACGTTACTGGGCTCGCTCGAGCAAATCGACGAACAACGGGAGGGCCTTTACCTTTACTTTAGTGAAACACCATGAGGTACAGTTGTAGATTTACAAATTTTTGTGCTTGGGTTTCGATTATACATTATCAAATACCCATCCCTCCACCAGTGCCCATTTTCCACCACCATGGATAATATCCCTTCCACCCTTATCCCCCCATCCCACCCTGCCTCTGTGGCAGGGCATTCCCTTTTTTTCTCTCTCTCCTTTTAGGTGTTGTGGTCTGCAAAAGACGCATTGCGTGGCAAACATGGTCAGTCCATAGTCTACTTTCAACATGCATCTCCCCTCCCGGGAGGATCCTCCAAACACCCTTTATTTGGTGCTCCCTTCTCTATCTGAGCTGCCCTTCCCCTAGAATGCCTGGCTGGCCTCTAAGCTATGGACTAATCCTCCTGGTGCTGATCTCAGCTATTCTTGGGTATTAATCTCATATTTTGTTACTTTATATCCCCCAGATGAATGCAATCTTTCTATGTCTAACCCTCTCTTTCTGACTCATTTCACTTAGCATGATACTTTCCATGTAGTAACACTTGTATGTAAATTTCATGACTTCATCCTTTCTGACAGCTACATAGTATTCCATTGTGTAGATGTACCAAAGCTTCTTTAACCAGTCATCTGTTCTTGGGCACTCAGGTGTTTTCCAGATTCTGGCTATTGTAAAGAGTGCTGCAATGAACAGACAACTGCAGGTGTCGCTTCGACTATACTTTTTTGCCTCTCTGGGGTATATTCTCATTCTTGCTCCTTTATCAAAGATTAAGTGATCATATGTTTGGGGGGAGATGTCAGTATATTCAATTCTGTTCCATTGGTCTGCTGTTCTGCTTTTGTTCCAGTACCATGCAGTTTTTATTATTACTGCTTTGTAGTAAAGTTTGAAGTTAGGGAGGTTGATTTCTTCCATTTTCTTTTTCCCAAGAATTGCTTTAGCTATACGTGGGGGCTTATTGTTCCATATAAATTTCAGGAGTGTTTGCTCCAGTTCTTTGAAGAATGTCATGGGTATCCTAATAGGGATCGCGTTGAATTTGTACAGTGCTTTGGGAAGTATTGCCATTTTGACAATGTTAATCCTCCCGGAGGATCTGTAAGATTTATTGACTTTAAAAACACATGTGTATATATTTGTGTCTATCTTCATAGTTTTCATATATTCTAAGTTATAATCATGTCTTCTGTGTACTTTGAAACAACTGCTAATAGATTTTCTTGGAATCTTGCCCTCCAATGATTCATTTTCTTCATAGCAGCCAAAATTGCAAATAAGTTTGATCCTCTGAAATTTTGAAAGTTTTTTTAGTGTCCGTGTAGAGAAAAATCATGTAGTACTGGCTTGCAATGCCTCACCAATATCTTGTATTTTAATCTAAATTTGTATTACTAGGATTTAGTCTACTAGTCCTTATTCAACAGTTTTTCAAATGCAAGCATTATGTTGGCTTTAGGGACTTTGCTTTT